CCTTCCTAGGGCTGAAAGAAAGTGACTGGCCCAAGGTCACCCAGCTGGCTTTGTGCCTAGGCGGGACTAGAACTCACCATCTCCCGGTTTCTAGTCTGATACTTTAACCACTACAACAAACTGGCATTCATAACTGAGATCTAGGTCTGCAACCAATCCCAAACAGCACAATTAAAATTAAATCCATGTGATATAATTATTTACTTTTTGCATCAGTAGTTAATTTAGAAGACAAAAACACTTAAGATTTTAATACATGAAACTAACATTACTACAGTATAATTACTGCAGTTTTTAAAAAATGTGAGCTAGGAAAAATTACATCTATTTATTTAAAGCATATTTATCCTACACCAGCAAAAAAATAAAATAAAAATTAATTGCTCCCAGAGCATCTTACACAGCACAATGATGTGACAGCTCACATTAATTCCTTTAAAATGTAGGATTTCAGATTTTAATTAAGTGTCTGACTAATTTGAGAGTAATATAATACCTTTATTTTCCATGAAATGTACTTTCCCATTTATTATGTCATATGCATCTAAGAGTAACATGCAGCATTTTATTATATGATTTACACATAAGATTTAAAGCAAAGATAAAGGATCAGTAAATCCACTGACATTTGCTAGGGTTTTTTAATTGAGAAATACTTCTAATAAATGGCAATAAATCTATTCTCATTTCAACTCAGAGCAATCTATGCAGCAAATCACTGAAACTGAAACAAATTATATATGTGACATGTTCTAAAGTAACCTCAAATCTCTTTATTCAGGTTTAGACAGTTCTCAATTACAAAAAAAGGGGAGGGTGGAAATGAGTGAGCAGAACATCAATCACTTTGGAATATTAGCACCTTAAAGATGTCTTTAGCAGGTCAATAATCTTTTCACCTTCGAAGGACTCTATCAGATCTTGTCTAAAGCCTGGATAAAAGCTTTTGCATTAAGTACTTCTAACAATTGGCACTGTGTCTCCACCACACAAAGCTGTTTTCTTCCTTAAGGATACAATCTTCAAGGTCATGATTCTCAACTGCCTTCCAAAATGACAAAAGAGCATTACCTACAGCCAAACAAGCTGTCAACACAAACTTTGTCACAGCTTAGATAAAGAAACTGGCAGACAGTGATAATAGGTCTAATTTTGCTCTGGTCCCAAGGGAGGTAAACAGATTTCAAATCAGTCTAAAAACCTAAGCATGTGCAGCAATGTTATCTCAAAAACTAAAATGGGGGGGAAAAAACTCACTGGAAATTCATCTAGAGGTTCATTGATTTCAAGATCCAGCACTTCATCATTATAATTCTCTTCTTCACCCTGATCTTCCCCATAGTCTATTTGGTCTTCTGTCAACTCAGCCTCTTGGCCTTCATACTGTCCTTCTGAATACTCCTCTGCATACTCTTCAGGCATGTCTGATTTGTCATAACCAATTTCATCTTCCCCTTGTTCGTACTCCAAGTCTTGTTCAATAGATGGGTCATTAGCATTCTCTGACAGCTCAAAGGATGTAACCATGCTAGATGCAGCATTAAGACTCATAGCGACATCTTGAGTACTACAATACAGCAAAAAATATTGTTTTTAATTGAAATCAACACATTACTACTAAGTGCATGGATCTTGCATGGAATGCGACACTTTCCACATTAAGTAAAAAAAAATTAATTTATGCATCAATTTGACTTCATGCCACAAATTCATAATATGCATACTTATATCACTGTTTATCACCAATAGTGGGCTATTTGAGCAAAGGGACCAACCATATGTTCTATCAGGTTAGCCTGGCAAGAAGTACAGGGCAACTGAGTAAGCTGCATTCAGTTTTAAATCCCAGGCTAACAAATATACACAGAAGGAGACTGGCATCTGTTTCCTACTTAGTGCAACATTAGTTACCCATTCTATTAGCTACATTAATACTGCCAAGCACCAATACTTTGGATTTTTCAGTTACTGTAATGAAATATTTTTCAAAAGGGTATGCCTGAATATGGAAGAATTTGCATTTAGTCCTTATAAGCATCAGTATCTCCAATCTGAGTTGTGTCCTCAACAGGTCCTATCTAAAATCTGAAGAGCAATTACAAGTTTTCTGATAAAAATTTCCATAAAAGCCTATCAATTCAGCCAATTAAAAAAGAATTCCTGTTTTTTTGTCCAATAAAACATACCAACTTTCAATGCATGAAGTAATAATTATCCATAAGATTATTTTTACTCTCTCTCTCCAAAAACTATTTATTGTTTGTTTATATCCTGTCAGCACTTCAGGAACTCAAAGGGGCGTAAGGGGCACTTTCTCCTTCTTTTTTTCCCCCACAACTACAACCCTGTGAGGTAGGCTGGGATGAGAGAGAGTGATTAGTTCAGTCACCCAGCGAGCTGCCGTGGCTGAAGATGGAACTAAACTTGGATCTTCCCAATGCCAGTTCAAGTTGTTAATCACAAAAAACATGGCATGTAAAAGTCATGGAAATGAACAAATTAGAAAGCAGTTATAGCCAGACAAGTTTCAAAGATGCAGTTCTGTCCTGGGTGTAAAGTTGGTGAGACTGGAATTCAGCTGTTACACTGAGTTGTGCCTATAAATCACCTCTGAGCAAGTTGAGTCCTGAATAAGGAGTTCAATGTCACAACTGTTTTGTTGTTATGTGGCCTTCTGAAATATAAATATGATAGTTTCATATGGTTTTGGTATATTTTAATTAGTAGTTCTGCTTTGCCAAGGAATTCTTAGCATAGACAGGATTGATTAAAGACAGTTAAAACTCAAAACTTTCTACAAAACATCAGGGATTGACCTATTATGGCAGTGTTGTCCAAACTTAGCCATTTTAAGATGAGTGGACTTCAACTCCCAGAATTCCCCAG